TGGCTTGGGGGCCTTGGGGACAGGCTGGGCCCCCGGGAGGCCCTTCTGCGCGGGGTGGCTTCCCGGGGGGGGCGCGCCCACCCGGGTGCTGCCAGGCAGAGCGCCTGGCCGAGGTGCTGCGGGTGCCGGGCCTTCCTCCTCGCTTGCGTCCAGCCGCCCGCCCGGTGCTGAGGCTGAGGCTCTTCCACGTCTTGTCAGCCCTGTCCTGGATGGTCAGGTGATTGGCAGGTGGAACAGAGAGGGTCCTGGTGATGACAGACGGCACTGTCGGCCAATCCCCGCGTGGGAGTGAGGACACGTCCTGCAATTCTGAGGGGCTTCTCTGCTCGCGCTCAGGGCTGCTTGCGAAACCCAGCGGGACAGACACAAGGCCAGGGAAACGATTAGACTGTGGGCAGAGTGTCTCCAGAATGACCAAGTTCTCCCTCTCAGGGGCACCACCACGCGACGCTTTGTGGGCCACACCAAGGATGTGCTGAGCGTGGCCTTCTCCTCTGACAACCGGCAGATCGTCTCTGGGTCCCGAGACAAAACCATCAAGCTGTGGAACACTCTGGGCGTCTGCAAGTACACCGTCCAGGTACGTGAGGGCGCGAGCAGGGAGCGGTGTTCGGGCGCGCTCTCCCTCTTCCTCTTCGCCTCTGCCTCCGCGTGGGATCCGGAGGGATTCTCGGGTAGAGGCCCAGGCCCCGGGGTGCTGATGACGAGCCAGGCTGTCGCGTCCCTCCCACTTATGGGGGATGGGCACCCAGAGCTCCTGTGCGGCAGGACCATCTCCCCTCGCTCGCTTTGTCTCCTCCGCAGGATGAGAGCCACTCAGAGTGGGTGTCTTGTGTCCGCTTTTCACCCAACAGCAGCAACCCCATCATTGTTTCCTGCGGCTGGGACAAGCTGGTCAAGGTGAGTCTCGAGCCAGGGCACGGGCCCTTTGCCAGCCAGTGTGCCCAGATGGCCATGGGCTCCAGCCTTCACAGGCCTCGTTGGTCCCCTCAATTGGATGTTTTCCTCGTGGTCTGTTACGTGGTTTGGAGCGGCTAACTGGTGTCTCCTGTCAGCCAGCAGCCGGCATTTGGGGGCCAGCGTGGTCTCAGTTCCCCTTAAGCTTAAGGCTGAGGCACCTGTTACTGAGAGAACGGCAGAGAGTTGCCAGACCAGTGATGCCTTTAAACGAGATGCCATGACTTTGGTCTGAACGCTCGCCCCCAGCGGATGCAGCAGCGGGCACCTGTCAGACCCCCTCCCCCGCCATCCACACAGGTATGGAATCTGGCTAACTGCAAGCTGAAGACCAACCACATCGGCCACACGGGCTACCTGAACACTGTGACGGTCTCTCCAGATGGATCCCTCTGTGCTTCTGGAGGCAAGGTAAGCGGGCGCGGGAGTCGCCTCCTCGGTGGGGCGGTGTCACCGAAGCCGTGCTTCGGCGGAGTTGGCAACACAGCGTAAGATGGAAAAGCTTGGCCGGGCCGACTTCAGGGGGTCTTGGTGGGCTGGCAAGGGGCCCCGCGTTAAAGGAAGGGCCTGCAGAAGCACGTGCTGGCACTCGAGCGCCAGAGTCCAGGAAGCCCGGGGCACTGGGGGAAAAGGAGCAACTGACTCTGAGCAGATCTTGATGGACTGGACTGAAAACCGGAAGCGCTCACCTTGCCTTGACCAGCCCTTGTGTGTGTCTGCCCAGGATGGCCAGGCCATGCTGTGGGACCTCAACGAGGGCAAGCACCTGTACACGCTGGACGGCGGGGACATCATCAACGCCCTGTGCTTCAGCCCCAACCGCTACTGGCTCTGTGCTGCCACGGGCCCCAGCATCAAGATCTGGGTGAGTGTGGGCTTCGGCCCTGGCTGCTCTCTGAGACCTGGCAATGTTGTGGCGGCCATGGGCGCCACCTGACCCCCAGCGGGGAGCCAAGCTACCTCGAACCAGTGGCTGACCATCGAGCTGTTGGTGGAGACCTCAGGCAGGTGGTTGTGGTTCCCCAGGGTGGGGATTCACGGTGGTGGGACAGCGTCTCACTCAACCTCCGCACAAGTGGTTTTGGTCTAGGACACTCCTTTGTTGCAGAGGGCCATCCTGTACGCATTAGGCTGCCTCCCTGCATGTTTAGCATCTACCCAGTAGATGCCACGAGCAAGTCACCCTTCCTTCCTAGGGGGTGGGATTATCCTGCTGATAATCTGAGCTGTAATGAGCATTTTTTTGAGAGGGGACCTTTCTTTGTTCTGCGCAAAAGTGCTCTTACCCTGGTTTGTCCTGTTCCCCAGGACTTAGAGGGCAAGATCATTGTAGATGAGCTGAAGCAGGAAGTCATCAGTACCAGCAGCAAGGCAGAGCCACCCCAGTGCACCTCTCTGGCCTGGTCTGCTGATGGCCAGGTAAGTGGATCTGTCCTCTCGCCTTCTCCCTCTCTGCACTGCCCGCACGTCCAGCCTGTCCAACACAAGACCAGTGTCTTTGGCACAAAAGGAGAGGACAAAGGAGTAGGATGACCTGGTTAGCCATGCCAGTGAGCGTTCTGCATCAGGTTCAAGGTTGTAGTCTTGGAAGAGAGTAGTTTCCAGCCTTAAGTTAATAGTTTGCTTCCTTTTTGAATATGCTTCATCACTAGTTTCTTCCTCAGGAATAATCAGCACCCACAATCTGGCAGATTGAAGGGCGAGGTTCTTAAAAGAGAAAGCTATCTTTGCTGTCATTCGTGGGACTGCAGAGGTCGTGGCTCTATCATTGTTATTTCTCTTTTGCAGACTCTGTTTGCTGGCTACACAGACAACCTGGTGCGAGTGTGGCAGGTGACTATCGGTACTCGTTAGAAATTTGTGGCAGAGCTTTAGAAATAAAAAAAAAATCTGGTTTTCTGACTTTTAGAAAGTATTTTTCTCTGATAAGCAAAACCACTCCGATCCTGCACACACTGCTCACACGTTAAGTCTTCCATCGAAGCGTTGGCAAGCCAGAAGCAGGTGTGGACCAAGGCTTTGAGGGAGAGGCACTAGTCTATGCCAGTGCTCTGTAGGGCTGGGGTGGCGTCGGATCGGACATTCATGAGAAGCCACGTCGGCGTTTCCCAAACTTGCCCCACGGGTGCTCTGGCTACAGGTAATGAGGGCCTGCCTTAAGCCAAGGGAGAAAGAAGAGCAGTTCGCTTTGGAACAGCAGGCTTCTCGGGCCATACCTCCTGACGCGCCGGAATGGGGCAAAGATGACTTGTCATTCCCAAGATTGAGCTATAACTTAGGAAACTTACGAGATGTAAGGCTGCCACAGTGTCCGTCAACTTGGGTCTTTGATTAAAATAGAGGGGTTTTCTCTTCCTTTAAGCAAGGCATTTCTCACTAATCAGCTTGCCTGCACTCTCTCAAACGTTAAATTTTTAAAGGGTTTGGAAGTACCCATGGAATCAGAGCTGGCCAGACAGTTGAGCTGCTGCTAACTTGGCTCTCAACCTGGACCCTTTCAGTTGCAGAGAGGGTGGGTGCTTCCTGGAAGGTCAGGAACAGGCTGCAAAACTGCCCCTGCGATTTCGAGCAGCAATCTCAGCATAGGTGTGGGACAGCCAGACTCCGCTGAAAGCCCAGAGTGCTGAAGCACATTGAGGGCTTGTGTGCCCCTACCCCTCGGGTCTCGTTCCCTCGACTCAGTCAGCTCCCACCAGGCACCTTCACACACGACTCGGGAAATGGCCTTCCCAGGATCGGGTCTTGTGAGCTCCTGACCCTCCCAAGTGGCAGCAGAAATGGCAGATGGGCATCCAAGTGGATCTTGAGCATTGCCAGCACATAAGAAACTAGGCAGAGCATTCTAGTGGGAGAATACAAAAGGCATATCCTGCCAGGCACAGTGCTCAGGCCTGGAGTCCCAGCTACTTGGAAGGCTGAGGCCGAAGGGTCACCCGAGTCCAGCAGGTTGAGGCTGCGAAGGCCAAGAGCGCGCTGCTGCAGTCTAGCCGGGGTGACACTCTGACTCAGAAAAAACACCTGTACCCCAGTCCCTGCTGAAACCGGATTCTGCCTGCCAAGGTGCAGATGTCTCCGAGAATTACAACTAGCCAGACTCAATCGCGTGACTTCTCACTGGAGACATGGGCTTACTGTAGAAAGGAAGAAAGCAAACCGCTACCAAGTGACACCCTCCGTTTCTGTTCATCTGAAGGAAAGGATTCCACCCAAAAAAGCAAATAGACATTTTATTTCACAACACAGCCCACTTTCCCTTTTCCCCGAGAACGTGAGTTCACCTTGGCCATCAAAGCAGAGGACAAAAGCTGATAAGTGACAAAGCGAGGGGCTACTAGAAAAATAGATTATACCCTGTTCCCAGGCTCTGGCCCCAGGCTTGTCATACGGGGAGGGGGGGACTGCCAGCCCCACTGAACAAGGGAAGGGAGCCTGGCAGTGCGACGAGAGTGGAACAAGCTTTCCTCCTAGACTGAGGGCTGGAGGAGGGAGGGGGTGGGGGTCATCTACTGGGCGATATGACGGTACGTCGTTTCAATCACGGCGACCATTCCACATCTCTCACTGAAGCTAAACTCTGGCCGGTCTAAGGAGGTAGAAAGTGGGGACGGAAGGGACGTTTAGGATCCCTCCTTCCCCAGGAGAGGACATTTCTTCACCCTCTGGCCCAGTCTGCCTCCCCGTTTCCAAATCCCCGAGCCCAAACTCGGGTCTCGAAAGGGGCTGTTAGGGGTCTCGCCCGAACCCTCCAGCCTCAGGAGGGACAGAAAGGTGGAAGCACAGGGACGGGGAAAGGAGTGGAGGAGCGGAGCCGCCCCTCCACCTGCCCCTG